CTTCTTATAAGTGTAAAAAATAAAATCAAAGACAAAAGAAAAAACCATAGAAAAGTTTTTTTTTTCACCAGGGTGACCCCTACAACTTTTACTTCACTCTTACTAAGAATTTGCCTCAATTAGGTTATTTAACATCAAAGAACCTTATTGTGTCATATAAGTTGTCAAATTAACGAGATTTAACCCTTTTTAAGTGTTAATGGTTGGTTATTCAACTTATGTAAAACCCTTATCCATCTTCCAATGAGTTTGTATGTAAATAATTGTTTTGTAAAATAAATATCATTTATTTTTAGATAAACTTTATTGACTACGATACTCATTGTCAAAGTCTTGGTCATATTAAAGGTGGTGGTGAATATTAGTATTTAAAAATTTAAAGAACCCGTTTCCTCATATATTAACTATATTAATATTAGTCTATATTAATTAGGTTAAATATGAGAAGTTATGTTGGAGTATCTCCTACACATGGATCCCTTTTAAAATATGCAACCATCTCAAATTGAAACAAGTCTGTAATTTTTGCCATCTATTTAGCGTTTAGCAGGTTTATGATGGTAAAAGTTTTATTATATGGGTCAGGTAAAAGATATGACAGTATACAGTGATGGTAGTAAAATGGTAAAGCCATATTTCAGGGTATTTTAAAATAGCTATATCGCTTTAAGTTGTTAAAAATGAGGAATTTATTTGTGTCATTTGTAAACACAAAGGGAACACGAACACATTATGTAAAACATTGAATGTATTTCTTGGATGACTTCCTGTTGAGTAGCAGTTTTCCTCTTTAGTGACACCTACTGTTTGATAGAGAGACTGTTGTGTGTCTAAATAGCATTTTCAGTGTTCACTAGCTCATACCGTGACCAATACATATCCTGGCTTTTTCTGTTTATTTAATAACCTAATAAAATAATAACTTATAAGTGTTTCATCAATTACGAAAGTCAAAAAGAAAAGTATTTTCTTTCTACATTGTTCTCTCATGCCGACCCTCACAGAGACCCATTAGGCTCAGAAATTTTCCTGTCTTCCACATTACGATAAATTCCATGCTGGCAGGAAATGAATCATTTTCTTGTGGACTGTTCATTTGTGTTTTTGGGGCGCTTTGACCTGCGCCATAAAGCGTCGTTGGACTATGTGGCTGATCGATCCTGAGGTCTGTGTCAGAGTGTTCGGCAGGGTGAGACCACCCCGGTCCAGCAGTCATCGATTCTCTTTTCTCAGTAATGGGGCATTGTTGAACGCAATCACRCTTCTTGACAGCATCTTCCACCCCACTTGCACTGGTACTCTGAGTTGGATCATTTTAAACGTCACTCTGAAATGTGTCTCCTGGTGTGTGCGTGTGCGTGTGTATTTAGAAACGTTTTAACCTGGACACCTGCTTTTACTGTCAGCTGCATGTCCTGAGAGGGAGGCTTGTTTTAGTCTTCTCTGACACTCCAATCCTTCAAACAAAGAAATAACTGATTCTTACATTTTCTCGTGATTATTGAAGAAATTCAAGTGTTGAAGTATTTCTGATTTACTTGACATTAAGTGCCTTTAATGACCAGCCACAGTAACTTTCTCTGTTCTTTGTTCCCAGGTGAAGTCTGTGAAGACCGGCTCCGTATTCTGGACCATCGGCTGTTGTCTGTCCTATTTCTACATGGTAAGAACCGCTCACATTCAACCACCTTATAAATGTGGACGAATCGAGGACTTGTTATGAACTAACGTTAGGGCTGGACGATGAGGCTAAAATTTTTATCATGAAATAACTTCTAATTTTGGTCGATACAATTTCGATGTAAATGATATTTTGTGGTATTTATTTCAATATGAACAATAAAAATATCTCAACTGACAAGAACACCAGTATTTACTGTACCTGCAAACCTGATATCATTTAAGATGCATTTAATTGGAATTATGACTACTCAGAACAAAAATCAAGATCTCAAATTTACTTCATGATTAGTCGTAATTTAATTGTTCTATGGAATTATTATCCAGCAATAACTAAAGTTCAGATTTATCCATTGATTAAGTTTTGCTTTGAAAGTTTGGACAGTTTTGAGCTGCATCAACCTGGTTAAATTTGATGAAAAGTTTCAGCTCGTCCGTTTTGCAGCACTTTTCTAATCAGACCATTTCGTAGTTAGAAATTATCACGAATGCGTGAAGTGAGACGACCTCGCGTGTTTATCGAGAAGAGTCTAACGTTTAACGCCATTGTAATTGCACAAATTCAACAGGTAATTTTATGCCATTATACCGCCTCAATGTGTTWACTCTAAACTGATTTGTATTAAACTTTCCTTGAGGATCGTAGATRAGAATTTTCATAAATGTCTAAGCTATAAATCTGCTTTTTGAGCTTGTTGACGTGTTTACCTGGTTGACCTGTGACCTAGAAGAGCTAGGCTTCGCTGTGCGCRTTTGTGAAWATATTCTAACTAYGAAATGGTCTACTGGGGGGGATAAAAGGTKACAATAACTGAAGAAGCGTAAAGAATACTTGCCGTAGTTTTTTGTCTAMATCGTCTCAAGCTTATTTTATTAAGTCAAACTGTTGCATTCAGATAATCAAATCTGGTCCTTTTTTGCTGTAAAAAGTCCGTGGAAACAGTCATTAACTTGATCTCACCACCAGTGTTTATTGGTGTTACTGCCTAAAGAAAAATGCTGTCATATTTATACACTTACAGGAAAAACTACCACAGTATTTATAACAGCAGCTCCAGCCATGGTCAAAAGACAGAAGGACCTCAGCTTTAATATATATAT